ATATAGTCATTCAAGAAAGAGTGTTGTAGATATAATATTTATAAATGACTTTTATACACGTGCAACCCGAGTCATAATGATTGTTGTATCCTTTATAATCCTAATTCTGCCCTATAAATATGGGGCCTTGGTTCTTAATTAAAATATACAAGTTTATTGACTTCTCTTTCGTTCTCACTAGTTTATAACATTTAAGATAATATACATGAAATTTATGAAACTTAGTTAATTTAGGATATTTCCATCAACAATGTTATATCATAATATATATCATTTAAATATTATTTCTCCCACTTTCCACTTTCTCTCTTTTACAACTTAAACTTTCTCATTCTCTCTTACACTTGACTCAGCCCCATTACACATCATCTAGGAGAGACAAGCCGAGCCTGTGCTCAACTCATCTCTCAAAGGCCAAGCTCGACTTGGCCCCTGAGCTCATACCTCATGGGCCAAGCCGAGCTTGGCTTACAAGTTCGACCTTTACTAAAAAATGCTTCCTCATTTTCTTTGAATTTGGGATTGGCTAATGAAGTTAAAATTGTATATAACAACTTATTACGTATACAATTTTTTTAAAAAAAATCAAACATCCGAAAACAAGGAATCGAACTCAAGTTCCAAGTGTTGTCCATGAAGCGTGCAGCCAAACACAATACTAGATATTTGAGAATAGATTCTTCGTTTTTTGATACTTGATTAAAAGAAAAAATGCAACAATCTTTGTTTTCGTTTAATTGAATGTAGAGAATTGATTTGAGATTTGAATAATTGAATTTTATGAATATGAAATGTATAAAGTTATAGAAGTAGAAAATATTAATAATAAATTTAATTGAAATTTGAAATTAGATTTGAATTTTTTTTAAAAACAAAAATTTCAAAACCCTCTTCTTATCCAAGCTTGGAACCACTACTCAATTTTCGAGTTGGCGGAGTTATAATCATACGCAATCAATTTGTTATGTGTAAAATTAGTTCAAAAATCAAACAATCAAATATATATATATATATATATATGTATAAACATTACTTGGAATTTGAGAAAATTGATTCTTTAGTTTCATTGAATTGAAAAGAAAGAAGGAAAGTAAGGACACCCACGACATCAAGAATATTGACTCAACTAAATACTATCAATTGCCTAACATTTTGATTGAGTAAAGATTTTTTGTTCTGTACGTCTTTTTCTTATGGGATATGAGCTCACCCACTTGATTCTCCATGCAATCAAACTCAATCAAGATACTTGCCAATTGGCAGTATTTACACACTACTTTGTAGGCTTACACTCTTAATTGTCATCCAAATCAATTGGATTACTATTTTTGTGAGAATGTAGTATGTGATTTGAATGAAAATGAAATTCATAAATTGGATAATGTAGAATATATATGTGTGTGTGTGTGTGTGTGTGTGATAGAATGTGTGTAATAATGAATAATGCAATGTAATAGAATTGATAGTAATTTGATATTTAAAGTAGAAGAGAGTTTGTTGATTATTGTGTGAAAAAAATGAATTGTAATTGAGGTATTTATAAAAGAAAAAAAAATCGATGACCGTTGGAGACCCTAGGCTTATCTACAATGGTGAACCAAGAGCCCCCTGTTCGGCTCGAGGTTGGGCTCATCCCAAAACAAGCTTGAACTACCAATGGATCGAGTCAAGCCAACGCGCTACTTGGTTGGATTGCCACCCCTACTTACACCTCACATTTTTTCTTTTTCTAATATATATCATTCAATAATTGTTTGTCTAACATCCCACTTTCTCTCTCTTACACCTCACACTCTCTCAATCATTCTAAAATCATGATTTTTTTTCAGAAATTAGGTGGTCACATTTTGTGATCTCTGATAAAATTTTGTAATTTATAATTTAATTAAAGATATTACAGTCACAATAACATATAATTTAGAATTACAATCATATGTTAGTTATGAATCACATAAGGTCACGGTCACAAAGACACAATTATAAATAATCGCAAATTTCACGTTCTTATAGGTCATATATTATTTATTACTCACAAATTAACAAGTTAACTGGTCACAATCGTTCTTTATCTCACCCCACCTCTGACACCAACTAAATCACTGGCACACAAGATCAAAAGCACAAATGGATAATTTGCATGTCACAATTATAAATTTAATCACAAATTACATGTTTTTATAGGCCACGAATTATTTATTGGTGACAAGTTACCAAATGAACTGGTCATAATCATTCTTTATCTCACCCTACCTTATCCCCACCCCACTCAACCACCTTCGACACCACTCAAATGGTCAGCACTACTTCAAATCTACAACAACCCCCACGTCTTCAAATCTACCACCATCTCCACCTCTAATCCCCTATCACCACCATGTGTACTTAGAATCTACATTCACCACCACCACCTCCCTCAAAATCTACCACCACCTCATAATCAACACACTATTCCCACCATTGCCATCGCCTTCACCATCAACACACAACTCCATCATCGAACTACAATAAACCATCGACGCAGAAACACATAGGCAGGACCGACGTACACAAAGAAAATTTTGCTCCGATTGATAAAGATCTATAGCTGGAGTAATGGCGGGATGGGGTAGCGATGCCATGGGTGTAGGATCATCCAAGTGGGTCCCATCAATGATGATAAAATTCAAGAATTTTGAAATTTGCATTTCAAAAGCTTTTCTTACAGATATTGGGTCCTAAATGGTGTTTTAGGGCTAATTGTGTTAGGTAATTGCCTCAAAAGTCAAACGTTGGAGGATTTCTATTGCAAATAATAAAAGGTAATATTGTATGGATTAGAGAGCAAAATCCTTGCAAATTTTGGTCTTCAATTTTACAATCGATTTTGGAGTCTTACACATGAAGGAGTCCATGTTTGAGTTGAAATTGAACTCTTCTACTTGATTATTGATCCAACGAATAGTGGATATATTTGTTATTTCGTGTGTGTAGCCTGAGAGTTGACCCGAGAGAGAAATATTGTGAGTCTAGTATCTTGAGAGTTTTCATACAAAGAGTAGTAAAGTGGATGTGGTAAAACTTGAGTTTATTTTTCTTTGTAATATTCTCTTAAAAAAAAGAAAAAAAAATCCTGCGAGTAAATAGAATGAAGGAAATTGGCATAAAATTTCCAACAAGTGGTATCAGAGCGTCATGTGGTTTGAAGTATTGGAGCAACAGAAAAATATGTCTTCGTTGAAATACGTGGAGAAATTTGACGGGAGAATCAATTTTGGCTCGTGGTAGAGATTTTTTGATTCAAGCTGGACTACATAAGTTTTTGAAAGGAAAACCAACCAAGAATTCTAGCAAAAAAGCTTAATCAAGTATGAGCGATGTGGATTGGGAAAAATTGGATTTGAAGGCTGCAAGCACGATTCGTCTTAGTTTGACTAAAAATGTTAATATTCATGGGATATCTGCTGCAAAGAAACTATGGGAGAAACTAGAAGAACTATATCAAACGAAAAGTCTCTCAAATCGGTTGTACCTGAAAGAGGAATTTCATTCATTGCGCATACGAAAATCTCAGACCATATGAGTACTCTCAATAGGATTATATCAAAACTGGAGGCTGGCTTATTTGGTCTCTTCTGTCTATCTATGAACATATCAAGTCAATCTTGATGTATGGAAATGAAACTGTGAGTTTCGCAGAAGTGAAAGCAACTTGATCTCATAAAAACAAGATTAGAAGGACAGAATATTCCATCTGACAATGCACTGCTTGTGACTGAAAAGGGAAAGAAGGACAACTTCATGAGAAAGAAAACAATTTGTTGGAACTGCGGTCAGACTAGCCCACGTAAAGAGAAATTGTCCAAAAGGTGAAATAGGGTTGTTTCGACATGTAGCCAATGAAATGCTCGGAGTTCGAAGATAATTCTGAGTGATTATACTCATATGGTGGGGTATGGGACCGTTAAAGTGTGTCAAATGTTACCTATTTTTCCAAAGTATTGTGACTAAAAGTTGTAGAAAAGATGACGAGATTTTGACTTGTTTTCGACATGGTGAAGATTGTTGGGTAATTGCTTCAAAAGTCAAAAGTTGGAGGACTCCTATTGCAAATAATAAAAGGTAATGATTGTATGGAAGACTTCTAGTTCAAGTTGAGAATAGAATCCTCGCAGAATTTGGTCTCCAATTTTACAACCAGTTTTGGAGTCTTGCACATGAAGGAGTCCTTGTTTGAGTTGAAACTGAACTCTTCTACTTGATTATTGATCCTACAAATAGTGGATGTATTTGTTATTTCGAGTGTGTGGCCTAAGAGTTGATCCGATTGAGAAATATTGTGAGCTTAGTATCTTGAGAGTTTTCAAACGAAGAGTAGAAAAATGGGTGTAGTAAAACTCGAGTTTATTTTTCTTTGTAATACTTGAGTGAAATTTTATATGGTTGTAATAATTTTCACATAATGAAAAGCTTTGACGATTTGTTTAATTTGTGTGTTATATTTTTTATTTTTCCTGTTTGCTAATATTCTCTCGAACAACAAAAGATTCTACGGGTAAATAAAAATAAAGGGAATTGACGTAAAATTCCCAACAAATCGAAGGTTGGATTGTGTTTGGGAGGTAATTTTAACGGCAGTAGGTAGCGGGAAATGGTGGCAACGGTGGCAATGGCAGTGAAGGTGGCAGCCGATGTTCGTAGAATTATGGGGTGGGTTTGCATAGAGAGACTGCTACATAGAGTTAGTAATACTGGAAGGGAGGGAAAATATGATAATTATCCTTATTTAGTTACCTTTAACTCAGGGATCAATTACTAAACTTTTGATAATTTAGTTTTATAAATATTAGAATATATATTTTAGTTTTATAAACATAATTAGCACCGGTTTGTTGGAAAAAAATATTAATGACATGATTAATGATAATCAAACTTAAAATACATGGTTATGCTTAATTTTTCCCCAAAAAAATAAAAAATAAAAAAATTCCAGTCATCTCCAGTAAGGAACCAGTTCCTAGCCTCAAGCATTCTGGGATGCAAGTATACAGATCATTATATCTTATCTATCTGTCTAACTAAAACTAAAATACTGGAACATGTTTTTAGGAGAAAAATAACAATTAATGCATGATCAATCAAGAACATTCTTGTAAAATATTAACTACATTGGAGCGTTGTTCATCACTCAATTCTGTAGGAAATTCAACGAGAAACTTGAGTCGAAGGTCTCCTCTGTTAGCTTCATCTTTGAATTTAGGCATGCCCTGTCCAGGGATGATTTCCTCGTATCCAGGATATATAATATCATCAATTGAAAGCGTCATTTTACCGCCTCCTAATATAGGGACAGAAAACGTACAACCTGTTAGAGCTTGAACCAAAGGCACTTCAACTCCTATCTCCAAATCATTTCCTCTCCGTTTAAACATTGGATGTTTTTTTTCAACAATGGCAAAGATAACGTCTGCTGGACGGGTGCCTGGTTTCTCGTCTCCCTTTCCTTCAAATGTTATTTTTGTTCCTTTTCTCCATCCAGGCTTTACATTGATAATAAGTGTCTCTTCCTCTTTGATTATGAATCTGTCATGACAGATGATCATGCAAAATAAGCAGCTACACACATACATTGATCTTAGAGGAAAAAAATGAATTTCTTAAAAGAGGGCTGAAAGGGGGGGGGGGGGGGGGGGGAATTGTTGAACCTCGTCTAGAATTTAGTGGTTCAACATGATGTTTATTAAACAGGAAGAGGATTTGAATTCAAGTATTGTCACCACTTACTTTGAAAATTGTAAGCACGTCAAGCTTTTGTGAAAAAATAAATTAGTCCCATGTGTAAGTCGCATTGGGGCGTTGTTGAATGCATAATTTAAATAAATAAGTCTCATCTTTAACAGCTTATGATTTAAATGAGGCATGCAAAATAAGTTCCTACACACACGCACATCGATCCTGGAGCTAAGATATGTTGAACCGTCAAGGTGGTTCAATGTGTCAAGCATTTTGAAGAAAAACAAATATACAATACCTAAGGGGCATGTTAAATACATAATTTAAATAAATAAATTTATCTCGTATACTGTTTGAACCTCTAAATGAGGTGATTTAAGAAGAAACTCCCCATACCCTGGATTTGAGATGACATCTCTTGTGATCTTGATCTTCTTGACACATCCATGCAACAATTCCTCGAGGGTGCATTCGAGTTTCTTGACAGTGGGCTGGGGTTTTTTCCAGGCTCCGGACCGCGAAAACATAATCGGGGTTGTGCTTCTGCTGCTCGCAATTTTTGATAAGGGAGTTGAATCTCTTGGGCTAGTGGCAGTGGGTGTTGATGGAGCGCTAGCCCTGGTTGAAGTTCTTGGAAAATTAGCATAGCAATCTGCTGGTGTAGGAGTTCTGCTTCTTTGGCTCGAATTTCTAGACAAATTTCTTGGACTTGGCGATATGCTGCGCGGGCTGCTTGCACGTGAAAGAAGCGTAGGGCTAGAAATGTAGAATTCATCATCCGTTTTGTCGGGAGTTTTTGGCTCATCTCCAATTGATAAATTTGCTTGTCTTTTCTTCTCAATGCTAAGAGCCTGAAATTTAATTCATTGACACGAAAAAAAAAAAAAAAAAAAAAAAAAAAAGCAGTTTGCAATTAGACCATGCAATGAACATAAAAAATTTCAATCGCAAATCAACATCTAGCATAGAATGGATGAAATCCCTGTAAAATACGTACCCTGTAGGCCTCATTGATGGATCTGATCTTGGCTTCAGCTTCGGCTTTGTTTGTGGGATTTTTGTCAGGATGCCATTTGACGATAAGAGATTTGTATTTACTGTAAATATCAGGGAGAGATGCAGTCCTTGGAATTCCCAGAATGTTGTAAAAATTGTGACGTGTTTCTGAGTCTGGAAGATCTCCCATGAAGATGTGGGTGGTTGCAGAGGAGAGGGGATGGAGAAATGGAGATTGTATGGAATCAATGGAGAAAGTAGAAAATGCAGATTTTGTCCAAACGATTTAGCGTGTGGTATAGAATGCATTTACATGCAAACAAGAAAACGGTTTATTAGGAGAATCAATTATTGGGGAATTATAAAAAACACTTTTTTTTAAAATGCACAAAAAAATTGTATGTGCACCTAATTTTATCAAAAATGTCACTTTTTTTGTGGGAAATGTCCAACTTACCTTCGTGTCCTCTTTTTAGGAGCATTTAATGCTAGTTTTTCAATCCAATTAATATTATGATTTCATTAGTTAAATTTATATATTATAATTATGGATATATTAAATTTATATATTATAATCATTGGATATATGTATATTCTATTGTATAATATGAATTTATTTAAAAAAAAAAAAGATAAAAGAAGTAAAAAAAATCCTATTTTAACATTAAACAAATATCTTCTTCAACAAACCCTCATTTCATCCATCTTCTTCATTCCTTGATCAAGAAGACATTACTACTTGATTCATCATCCATTTTGAGAGTTTAATTATTACGAATTGTTTATATTTTTATCGAATAGCTTTCCCTTTTTTAAATATTAAAAACAATATGATCATTAAAGTGAAGAATGTTTTTGAAACTCTTATTAATCATGATACTCTTGATTTTTGAAATATTTTTGAAGGGAAAAGATATAAAAAAGAAATCACAAAAAGATTTAAGGAAATGTTAAGTATTACATTCCATATTTAATGAAGCATTAAGTCATTTATTTTTGGAAAAAAATTGTGATGATGTAGTTGTTGTAGTTGAGAATTGATTATAACCATTAATGTTTCCAACAAGGTATCTAACACGTCTTAAGCTTCTCGACAGTTGAACTGTCGAACTCGAAATTTAGAAACGTCGAGATAAATTATTTAACTGTTTGGACTCAACAATTCATTTCACCTTTTGTCATTGAATGGATTTAAATATTCAAAAGTGTCACTTTCATGCCATTAAATGTCGACACATTGATTTGTGCAGAGTTCTTACCATTGCAATATCAACTTTTCATGTATTAATAATCATTTGAGATTCATCGTACGCATGGACGAAAGTTTGTTTATGTGGATGATGAATGAAAGTGAAGAGTGGACAAAACCACTTTCATTTTAGTTCCGACAAGTATTACATATGCACTTGCTATGGTGGAGTTGACCATAACCGGACCGCGTGTTCCAACCACATTCTAATACAACTAATGTAAATAGGCTTGATGTCTAAAAGTAGTTGAAGTTGTTTTTTGAATATTCCCACAATAGCGTTGTACATTCTAAAATTATATTATCATTTTATTATTATTTGCAGATATTAGTTGTGTTTAAGTTCACAAGCAAATTAATTATATAGACAAAAATTGCATAACATCCAACAGAAGGATTCTATCATTCTCGACAGATAGTTGCGAAGTAGAAAATTTGACTACAAAAAAGTGTATAAGGGACATGCTGTTCTCGAACACATTCTCAACTTACATTATTATTATTAGCATTTTATTATTATTTGTAAACATTGTATAATATCCTGACAATTAAACTATCAGCCCAGATAGGAGGTTTCTGTCATTCTCGACAATTGGTTGCGAGCAGAAAATGTAACTACAAATAAGATATATAAGGGTAAGCTATTGCATAACATTTGGTAAAGACGTTACTATATTTATCCTTGACAAATTATAATACATAATTTAACAAATTTTTTCGTGCTAATTGAACAATCCAACGAATATGAGAAACGAGATATGATAAAATGTGTCACCACATGTGAATGCAACCACTAAATCATGTTTATAACCACATTCTTGGAGGTAAGCAAAATGAGGTCATTGATTACACAAATTAATTCTAATGTAGTATTAACAAATTTGGTCACACTATTTCTTTATTCTTTTTCTCCTCTCCCAGATGTATAAAGTCCTAATAGATGCTGCAGGAAATCGAATGTGTGTTGATCATTGCTATTTGTGTTAACAACATCGTTACATTCGATGGGTATGGTGGCCGCCTCCGCCAGGCTACAAGTTGAGGGAACTTTCTCGTTGTTTGGGCATGACACTTTGAGCTATATGGATTCTCCATATATTTGAAAACAACATTTGCAACACTAACCGACTTGAGTTCATTATTTCTAGTTTGCAAATTATGGAATGAGATGAAAGTATTTAAAATTTTGAATTTGCCACTTAGTTCTCACTAGGCAATAAACCCTCATGATTATCAGAGCACGAGTTGATGCATCCTCCATCAAATTGAAACAATAATTATGATACAAATGGACATGAATTCAATAGTTCTAGTTTGCATATTACGAAATGAGACGACTGTATTTAAAATTTTGAATTTTTCAGATGTTAATGCTAAACACACGTATAAGAAATCAAAAAACAAACTATAATGTTCAAGAAATACTGCCTTTAACTTCGAGAATGATAGTTTATATCGAAAGTAACTCATCTATCGAGAATAACTGAAATGAATTGTCAGGAATGACAGTTTATTGAGACAGATAGGTTACATAACTGATCTTTCGAGAAGTTCATGTGTGGAGAATTCAAAACTTTACAAACTTCTATTGTGACAAATTAAACAGTTCGTTTAGAAGATTCGATACCCAAGCCTAACCTAGAAAAATATAATAAATAAGTTAGGCTGGAATGACAAGTATAATACAATAATCAACTTTCACAAATCAAACAAATTCAGAGAAATATAAAGTAAAAAATTGACAACATGTGAAATATTTTTTTTTTAGAAAAATATTAAAAAAATTTCATACATAATACCCAAAAAAAATTAGAAAAAATCAAAATGCCCAAAAAAATATAAACCCCAAAAAAAATGGAAAAATCCAAATTACCTGTAAATGTACATTCTAAACAAAGTCGAACCCAAAACAGAGAACAATCTAACTCACCGTCTAGATGTAGGAAACTCAAAATTGATTGTGCAATCTAAGAGAAAGACAAAAAAAATAGGCATTAATAAAAAACTTGGAACCTTCAATCAATCTAAAAAAACTCATGTATTCGAAATCTTACTTACGATATTCTTCTTTCTTCTGTATTGACATAATAAACGAGATCCTAATACAAGAACTTGCACTCCATATAGTTTTCAAAGAATTAAGAGAGGAAACATAAAAAAGAAGAAAAAAGAAAAGAGAAATTTTTGCAAAGAAACGTACTAGAGAGATAAAAATGAATGAGTTAAAAGTTAATAAATTTTGCTCTTATATATATATATATATATATATATATTGTAAGGATTTTGAAGTACAATTTTAAGGTGATTGATTGTCACATTTTCTCCACTTTTTGTACAACTTTTATATTGTCAACTCAAGAATGTGTATGGTATTTGAATTTTTAAGAGGGGCAAAAATGTCCAAAACTGACAATCTTGAAAAGACTTTTAAAAATTGATATTTTTGTAAATGCAAAGCCAAAAGTTGACTATTTTAGTAATTTCCTCATTTTAAAAAATAATTGGGGAATTATAAAAAAATGTCACTTTTTTTGAAAATGTACAAAAAATTTGCATGTGCACCTAATTTTATCAAAAATGTCACTTTTTGTGGGAAATGTCCAACTTACCCTTCATGTCCCCTTTTAGGAGCATTTAATGCTATATTCCAATCCAATTAATGTTATGATTTAATTAGTTAAATTTATATATTATAATCATTGGATATATATTTTATTGTATAATATGAATTTACTTTAAAAAAAAAAAGATAAAAGAAGTAAAAAACCTATTTAACATCAAAGAAATATATTCAACAAACCCTCACTTCATCCATCTTATATATATATATATATTCATTCTACTGTATAATATGAATTTACTTAAAAAAAAAAAGATAAAAAAAGTAGAAAACCTACTTAACATCAAACAAATATCTTCAACAAACACTCACTTCATCTATCTTCTTCATTCCTTGATCAAAAAGAGATTACTATTAAATTCATCATCCATTTTGAGAGGTTGGTTTTACTCTTTTTTAAATGAGAAAAACAACATAATCATCAAAGTGAAGAATGCTTTTGAAATTACTATTAATTATGATGTTCCTCATTTTTGAAATATTTTTTAAGGGAAAGGATACTAAAAAGATTTATGCAAATGTTAAGTGATGGCAACCTTAACAAACCGGCTTTCATCTGCATTTGAATCATACTATACAGTGGTAGCAGCCTTACCAAATCGAAGTCGAAGTACGTGTCGGTGATTAAACTGTCGAACATAGAAATGTGAAGAATAAGACTGCGCATTAACAAATATTCTGACTTCATTCAACAACGTCGAACGTTAAACAACCATCGCGTATCTCATATAAATTCATTGTTTCTCCTGTGACCCCAGTAATGTGAAAAGCAATCAAACATTATAGATAAATAAGCAATAATAACATCAATCTAATCAAAGTTATCATGGAAGTCAATTGATGAACGCAATTTCTCATAATTGTCCTCGTGCACATAGATCTCTACCCACTTCATTTGGGCAGCCAAAATGACATTTCAAAACAAAAATGAATTCATCAATCAAGCATAATGAACAAAAAATGCGAAACAAACCACTAAAACTGAAACACAGAAAATGAATGCATCATTCAAGCATAGAGGATGACGAATCAATCAACAAATCATGAGATCATAGCATTGCATCCATGTTAATGTGAAACACACATGTAATGTTGGAACCAAAGTTCAAATTGTGGAACTGACTGTCGTCGCGATAGTTCATCTGTCGAAAACTTCATTTGATCCGTCGAGAATTACTGATTCTAACTGTCGGGAACGACAGTTCAATGGTAAACGATTTCAAAGCTATGCTGTCATTTCATTCTGACATATTGTCATTTCATTTCCAACATATTATCATTTCATTCTGAAATAATACACAGGTTTTGTACAAGGGTATAT